ACAGGAAGCGCAGTGACTGCCGTCCCTGAGGAGCTGAAAATGGTGTCTCCTGTCTCTGTTGGATGTTAGCGCTGGCACACAGGAAGCGCAGTGACTGCCGTCCCTGAGGAGCTGAAAATGGTGTCTCCTGTCTCTGTTGGATGTTAGCGCTGGCACACAGGAAGCGCAGTGACTGCCGTCCCTGAGGAGCTGAAAATGGTGTCTCCTGTCTCTGTTGGATGTTAGCGCTGGCACACAGGAAGCGCAGTGACTGCCGTCCCTGAGGAGCTGAAAATGGTGTCTCCTGTCTCTGTTGGATGTTAGCTCTGGCACACAGGAAGTGCAGTGACTGTCATCCTTTAGGCATGACTCTTGCTCACTGAGAGGTTTGCTGTGTTTGGTAACCATGTCATGTCAATATTATTTATATCCTGAACAGATGTTTGATTCTTTTTACAGGTGTACGAAATGGTGAATTTCAATAGAAATAGCAGTGAGAATAGATATTAACAACTGGAAGAAATACAGTGTAACCGAGAAAAAATTTAGAAATCAGTTATCATATAAGTTAAACACAAAGGTTAAGGTATCAGCTGTGTACACAGAATTATGGTTATGCAGGATGCTCTGTGTAATTTCTCTCTGAAGTCCTTTCTTGTTTTTATTCGAGCAGGAGTTCTTTGACCATGCGAAGAAGCTGTGGGAAGACGAGGGGGTGAAGGCCTGCTTTGAGCGCTGCAATGAGTACCAGCTCATCGACTGTGCACAATAGTGAGTCCCTAACCCACTTTCCTGCTCGCCACATCCAGCACCTGGGCACCTCTGGCATGGTGACACTATGACATGATCATGTTTGAAGTCATTGTAACTGCATTGTTTAATCCAAGCTCTTTTGGGGAAGGATGATGTTTTGATGTGAATTTAGTGGGATGCTGACTTGTACACATCACACTCGCAGTCTGCTTCGACCTTGAGATCCGAGTACCATTCTGGAACGGGAGATCATCCAGTTGGCAAAGAACCTAGACCTGTGTTTGTATGGGAGACTACTTGTAAGGGATGCTTCACATTTACATATATTTACTTGGCAGACACAGTTATCCAAAGTGACATACACCTGAGAAAGCAGGGTCAGCCAGTCCCTGGAGGAATTGCAGTTACTGGCCTTGTGCAAGGGCCCGACAGTGAAATCATCCTGCCAGCCATGGGATTTAAACCAGTGACCCTCTAGTCACGGGCACTGAACCCCCACAGTGCTTTAGTACACATCCTCTGATCCTTTCCCTGATACTAGAGAAGAATTCTCAAGGTTTACATCATAAAAAGCACAAGACAATTTACTGTAAAGCAGAAACAGAAATGCTGAAATCGACACATTTTATAGGCAGCAAACATGGACCTTTGTCTTAAGATGCAGGCTGATAGACAAACCAAGCTGAATGAGTTCTGGTGTGCAAGAGCTTGTGTGACAGGGCAGGTTAGAGCTTCCCCTGGGTGTGACACAGAGGTAATAAAAGCAAATAGGATTAAGAATTTAATTTTAAGGTGATTCAGAGCTTTGAAAGCAGGCCCACATCGCCATGCCTCCCCCACCACTGTGTTTAGCAGTTTGAAACCAGGATGTTGGTCTCAGCACGGACTGCATGTATCAGACATCTTTTGCTGTATTTTTGATCTGCGGCACAGCTTTGTGTCAAACTTTCAACTGAATTCTAGGGTAATTAGCACAGTACAAAAAAAATCATCATTTACAAAAGGTGTAAGTAGTGTGATTATTCATAAAGATGAGTGTATGTCCTCCCTGTTACAGACTCACTGCGGTGTGCGTGTGGGTTCAGAGCTCCACTGTTGTACTCACTCCAGCCCTTGCTGCTCCAGGGATTTTCAGTGTTAGTTTAAGCAGGAACTTGTTCTGGTTACCGTGGCGACTCCTCATCGCTAATCACCCAAACTGAAAGCAGCATGTCTGCTTATGGACATTAAACTGTCTGCTGAACTTTTTCTCTCTGAGCATCGGTTGTTTTCATTTATGTGTCCAGTGTTACTATCAGAACGATGTTCTGTACCCATATGACAGACTCAGTCTGTAAAAGTCATAGTGTTGAGTGCCAGGCTGCGCTTTATGAATCACAGAGACAGGACACTATCTCCTGGATGCGTAGCGGCTTAGTCATGCATTGACACATGTAATACATTGTGTGTAGGTTATGTTGTTTAATTGGTTAACATACAATGTCCATGTTTGGCAGCAATCTAGCTCTAGCAGTTTTCAATGTCACCCTGCCATTTTCTGCTACTAGGGTACCTATGTTATGGGACTGTGTGAGACTCTTTAGCCCAGCTGCACTGTGACGCTTTAGCCCAGTTGCACTCTGACTCTTTATCCCAGTCGCACTGAAACCCTTCAGCCCAGCTGCACTGTGACTCTTTATCCCAGCTGCACTGTGACTCTTTATCCCAGTCGCACTGTGACCCTTCAGCCCAGCTGCACTGTGACTCTTTATCCCAGCTGTATACTGTGACTCTTTATCCCAGCTGTATACTGTGACCCTTTAGCTCAGCCGCACTGTGATCCTTCAGCCCAGCTGCACTGTGATGCTTTAGCCCAGCTGCACTGTGACTCTTTATCCCAGCTGCACTGTGACCCTTCAGCCCAGCTGCACTGACACTTTTGCCCAGCTGCACTGTGACTCTTCCTCAGCTGCAGTTTGACTTTTCCACTTAATCCAGAAGCTGACAGGATATCACTCTGGTTCATATCTAATAGAACAATTTTTTAATTAAGACTTTGTAGTGTGTCTTTTGTCATGTGATTGCTAAACTATTTTGTAAAATTAAATCATATTACGGTAAAGTTAAATCAATGTATAAAAATCTTGTCTCTTAGTAAATCTCATTGAATTTGATTGTGTAAATAGGGAGCGGAATGTCAGTCAGGAAGCATTCCTGACAAAGGCAAAAGCAGCAAGGTGACCAGTCCCATCGTCCGTCAAGTACCCCCCTGTCGGGGCCCTCAAACCCTAAACCTGGAGCCTGTGTAGATGAGTTGTGGGGGTGGGGCAAGCTAGGCTATTTTTGGATGCGGTGCCATGGAGCAGGAGCAGCCGGGGAGGGGCGAGGGAAGGGGGGGGGGGTCACGTGTGCAGGCGCAACGATGTGCAAAAATGTGTTAAACACGGGAAGGTCATGCCATGTGGAGGACATAGCAGCACACGCTGGTAAACACATGATCATACATGTTGCATGATAACAAGCATTCTGGCCAGTAGGTCTGTGTGTGAAATGTCACGTCAGACTAAACAGTAATAAACAGTAAATAAACATCATTTACCACTTGCCCTGGTGGGCCCCACTCATAAGGTTGTGGGTTCAATCCTCCTCTAGCTCTGTGTATCTGCAATTTACTGATATCCTGTCCATCAAGCAAGAAATAATTAGTGTCTGAATAAAATTCATCATATAATTATTAAGTGAAATAGTACAAATAAAAAAGCAGGTTTGGTTACAGTGTGAGACTGAGTCTGTCTCAGGTAGAGCCTGGGGTTTGCATGGGGGGTAGGGGGTAGGTGTAAGCAGGGGTTAGGGGCCTCAGGCAGGCAGCGACCAGACGTGTGTCAGGAGTGGTTTACACATCACACCCTGAGCCTGCAGGCCTGTGCATACGTGCAGCATGAAGCCCTCTTTGTGCTCCTAGCGGCAGTTTAATTGTGGTCCCCCGTAAAGACGTTGTGCCTCCTGTATCCCATCATCCTTAGGGATGGGCCGCGCTTGTGGTCTCCCAAACCTGTTGTTGTAGTGATGAATGGCTCATAATGGGTGGATTAGCGCACTATTCATGTGCTTGTTTGTTTCGGTTCTTTCCTCACATGCAGCCCATACGGGGGCAGCACCGGTGATCATGGTGCACAGACTGGCTTTGGGTGTGGGGGGGAGAAGGGGGGGGGTTGGTGTGGAGCTGTATTGGAACAGCCAGGCTAAGACACAGGAGTGGTATTGACCCACTGTAAAGGTTTCCATGGGAACCCAGTTGCAGCTAAAAGCAGGCCAGGTCAGGAGAGAGCTCCGTGTGGTGGAAAAGTTGTGCGCCCTCTGGAGGCTACTACAAGAATGGCAGAAACTAATAGGGTAGCTTACAGTTAGGGGTAGGAAATGTATCCATTTAAGACTGCAGGAGGTTTCATTAGACCTAGTTATTTTTTGGTTCACTATTTTTGTGCAGATTCTGTGTATTAGTACTACAAATTTGGCTGAGCTGACAAACATGATTACTGTAGTTTATATAGAGTGCTGTTGCCAAATAAACTTCCTGGGAGTAAATTCATAGTTTGTGTTACTTTGAGGTAGATTGCTGTAAAAGTGACCAGAGTGGCCACTTCGATGGGTACAATTAGCTGGTACCGGGTAGGACCCGTTTCATTAGGTACAGCTGGCTGGTATCGGATAGGACCCACTTCATTAGGTACAGCTGGCTGGTATCGGATAGGACCCACTTCATTAGGTACAGCTAGCCGGTACCGGGTAGGACCCACTTCATTAGGTACAGCTAGCCGGTACTGGGTAGGACCCACT